ACTATAGAAAAAAAACTTGTTATAGTGCTGAGGTATGGGGTTCATAACACGGTATTAAAATTTCTCAGAACAGATTTCCAACCTTGTGACAACCATGGGCCACATCTGGGTAATGTGCGTTGAAACCGCCACTAGTTAGTTCTAGGGCAGCCGCAGTTTGTTTACATTTTGTAGAGCTAGCTTCAGCTCTTAAACCACTTCTGGACCCGCAATATGTATATAAAGATTGCGGTCCTGAAGTGGTTAAAACCAAGCTCATAGCTGCTGCAGCAGCCATTATCTTGAGATTGTGTTTGCAGCCGGCAGCCAGCTTTCACATTCAAGTGATTGGCCACCTGTTGAGCTGTCCGTTCACTTGCATGCTGCTGAAAACCCCATGACACCGCTGTTGGCTATGCCGGGTTCCGCTGTCCCCTGTGCACACTTCCAGTGCCTGATCTCCACTCTGATTACTGAATTTGGAAGCAACAGGGAATTTATCACTTCGGGTTTCAGTGTGTCATTTTTTTTATGGCTGCTGTAGCTGGAGAAGAAGCTGGTAAGACACAGTTGTTGCTTCATCAACTTCTGAAAAAAGTTAAAAAATTAAAGTGCCATGTAATACATTTAAAAAAAAATGATTAAAGCCCTTGACCCCCAAGTACACACAAATGCATATGTTACATACACTATATTGCCAAAAGTATTGGGACACCTGCCTTTACACGCACATGAACTTTAATGGCATCCCAGTCTTAGTCCATATGGTTCAATATTGAGTTGGCCCACCCTTTGCCACTATAACAGCTTCAACTCTTCTGGGAAGGCGTCCACAAGGTTTAGGAGTGTGTCTATGGGAATGCTTGACCATTCTTTCAGAAGCGCATTTGTGAGGTCAGGTACTGATGTTGGACGAGAAGGCCTGGCTCGCAGTCTCCGCTCTAATTTATCCCAAAGGTGTCCTGTCGGTTTGAGGTCAGGACTGTGCAGGCCAGTCAAGTTCCTCCATTCCAAACTCGCTCATCCATGTCTTTATGGACCTTGTTTTGTGCACTGGTGCGCAGTCATGTTGGAACAGGAAGGGGCCATCCCCAAACTGTTCCGACAAAGTTGGGACCATGAAATTGTCCCAAATGTCTTTACCTTAAGAGTTCCCTTCACTGGAACTAAGGTGCCAAGCCCAACCCCTGAAAAACAGCGTGTTTATGCACTTGGAGAAATTTAAGGTGCCCATACACCTTACGATTATCAGACGAAACTTTTCGTCCGATGATCGAATAGTCGTACGATTTTCGTACGGCAACCCCATCCTGCCCCAATGATCGCAAGATTAATTTAGCCGTAATTAACGAAAAGCACCTGGACAAAATGCGGTAATTGATTTGCTGTATTTTCGTTAGCGCAAGCGCAGTGTAGGTCGTACGACTTTTGATGGACGGAAACGCCAGCAACCTTACGACAATCGTACGATCTAGCAAAGTTTTCAGACATGCTTGACCGTCAAAAGTCGAACGATTGTACAGTACTGTTGGTCGGACACTGCAATGCACACATACGAATATTGGCCGAAAAGTCGATCGCATACGAAAATCGTCCGATAATCGTAAGGTGTATGGGCACCTTTAGATCGAGCATTTATTGTTTTCATATGCGCGGCACTTTGTATGGTAAAAGTGACTACTTAGGTGGTTTTCCTTTTAGTGCCTGCAGCTATTTTTTACTGGTGCGTGGTAATTATTTATTAATTATAATTTTAGTGTCATCACTCACTGTTAACTCTAAATTGTTAAGCAGGAAAGACTTTTCGGTCATTGTCTATGTGCAATTTTGGGTACTGTAGTTTTTTTGCCATTTAATGGGCACATGCAATTTTAAAGCCTATTTTTTTCCACTTTTGCAGAGGTATTTTTAAGAAAATGTTTGCAAGCAATGTACATCGAGTGCACTTGAAGCAGGCATATGCAGTTGCTCTATATGAACACAGAAACGTACATTTCTGTTAGCTTTCCTTTTCATATCCTCATGGAAATGGCTGCCTCTGTGCGTTGCAAGCAATCTATAGAAGTTAGAACTGGTTCCAGACTGCTTTACAATCTGACCCTGGTATCAGACTGCATTTCCTGTGGAGAACATTTTTAATTTCTAGGATTCAGGCCTAATGATAACTTCATTAAAAATAAAAAAAGCCTGCAATGTGAGTCATGAAAATGTGTGCATATAAACATCATCACTGCACTTCTACATTACCACAATAAATGTTAATCACTTACAAAGGTGGAAATTGACTTTAAGGCTTGATATGTTAGGATTCTGTCGGGTAAACAGATACAAATCTGTTAAATTTACCTAAAAATTTGGCATTCTGTTTGTGTACACTAAAATAGTGTATTTTGTCCCCTAAAATCATTGATTTGATAAACCAATAGTTAGTTCAAATATTGTGACACCAAAAAATTGCAACTAGCATTTTTTTTTAAATATATGAAGCCTCTGCTTTTAGAAAATATGTACTTGTTTGTTTTGGGGTTTCTACTCAAAAATTTTGATTTTAAAGTGTATGCAAAAATTTTAAGAAATTGCCCCACTCATGCTCACCTGTTTCCTGTGGGAGCTTGGGTCAGCATTTGCAGCATTCAGAGTGGAGGGGCCACCAGAAACCTCTATTCCTCGATCTCCACTGTGAGACACAAGCCTGAGAGAGATATATTTATTAAACGTGACACTGAAAATGACCATCATTTCATTTTATGGATCCTCTGCTTTTTGAAAATATATTGTAAATATATAATGTCTTGGGGTTTTCAGTGCATTTTCATGTAAAAAACAATAAAATAAAAAAAGGGCTCTAGCAATGAAAGCATTACTCATTGCAAGTCACTGACATGGAACAAGTGCGCAACAAGATACTTTTTTTCTGACTTCCATCATTTGCATACTTTCTTGAAGTCAGGGGTTTAGAAAGTATGAAAGCTAGCTAGTCTTCATAACAGCCAGGATATGAACATGTTCAGATGCAAGACAGAAAGCTCAGAATTTCTTTTATGACAGGTGTGCTCTTGAGACTGAGTGGAATTGCTTCTATATGAACATCTTTGCAAAGCCTCCTTTCTCAGTAAGTGGAAATTAGCTCAACTTTAAAGTACCATTATGTAATTAGAGTGCTCTTCTCCTCTTACTTATATCCTCCCCTTTTCCATACTGTAGAACATTCTGTTTTTGTGTGATCTTGATAGTTATTAACCTCGGCACACCTGTGTTCATTATAAAAGTGTCACGCTAAATTCTTGACCTTTCCTGTGCACTGTGCAAGTTGGACGGGAATGAGGTTGACATTGATTTACAACAAAATAATTGTTTAATCTTAAAGTGATATTAAACCCTCAGATTTTTTAACATAATGTATGTCTTACTGTAATCCATGGTAGTTTCCCTTGGATGGTCGTAAGGTGTATGGGCACCTTTATGCACACATTACAGTATTGGTTTATGTTAAAAAATCTGAGGGTTTAATGTCACTTTAATCAGAAGATTTTTATGAATTTCATCATGGGACATATTTAGCTTTATAGTTTTCTGGATAACCGCAGTCTTGTGATCATATTTCATCTAATTAATATATAATGGGGCCCAATACTTCAAAGTGACACTGTCATCGCCTGTACGAATCAATGACAGGCTGGCTGAAACAACGGCTGTACAGGTATGCGCACAAGTACCACTATTTAAATGCATGCTGGGACTTATGCACTGCCCTGAACTCAGACCCTCTGCATGCGGGCAATGCATAATTCCTGGGACACATACTGGTTTTCAGGGGTTATTTAAAAAATGCATTTTATTATATTGATTTTAATATTTGGTGGAATTTCCCCCAAATGTTTTTTTTTTAAGTTATAATATTGTTAATTTACTTGTATTTACCTTTTTTTTAATACATATTTTATAGAGTACATCTTTGGTAAATTAGTATCTCAGGGGAATCTCTTTGAAGGTATCCATTTGCCAATCTTTTTGTAAATAGAAAATGTCAATTAGTTGCTCAGATATCTATGAGTATGTTGGCAAATCTCTGTAGGGCATATTGGGCACTTCCAGTCCTTTTTATTGTCTTGCTGTTATCCTTTGTGTGACCAACTTGCCACAATAATTGCTTAATGCATCATGTTCAAAAGACCATCTGTATTTTCAGAGGAAACAGTCGACAGCAGGCAGGACAGATTCTATAGGGGTGGTAGTCTTTGGACAGATGACCACAGTAAACGCAGACAGTAGTAAAGTCAGCAGACTGATGGTCAGGTCATGTACAGATACATAGAGCCTAGGTTCCAGACATGTAGACAGAGCGCTGACAACCAATGGCAAAGGTAACAGAGCGATGATTAAGATAAGTACAAAGTCCAAACTGTTCACATGGAAACCCGAGGCATGGACATTCTGGCAGAAGTCCAAGACAGACAGATCTATCCAAGTAATGACCATACAGACAAGCCTGTTGATTAGGCACAGCCTTGCAGCTATAGCCTCACATTAGGGTGGGTTCACACCATCACGTTGCGGTAACACATGTTACTGCCATAGGTGTGCTGCTGTACAGTTTATTTTGAATGGCATCACAACGCACTAAGGCAGCACAGTTGCTCTGTGCCTTATGGATTGCATTGCTTTCCCAAAAAAAGGGACAAGGGTGCTGTCGGCCATTCTGGGGGTTGCGTTGGCAACCCATTCAAAACGAATGGACTACCTTGCATTAATGTGTGATATAACCCGTGTTAATGTGTATAGGGTAATGCACCAGACAAGTGTGAACCCAGCTTTAAAGTCCACTTATGAGTGCAGGTGAGGACAGGTGTACACAGCAGAAATCTGAGAGGCCGTGCGACTAGCTGAAGGTGAAGACTCATGGATGATCATGTTGTTGGAACATTCTTTTTTTTCCCTTCTATACATCATAAAAATTGTTATTTGTTCTGATGATGTGAATACGAATGTATGATAATTAAAATGTTTGCTTTCTTTCATAGGTTTCCCTGGGTAAATTACCAAGATGACAATCTAAATATCTCTATGCCTGTGTTCAGTGTGCACGGAAATCACGATGATCCTACAGGGGTAATTATTCTACAGCAAGAAGGATGCTTGCTCTGGGGGAGGGTAGGGTGTTGAATGTGCACAAAGATGATGCTTTCAGCTATTAGGGTAATGTAGGGTGCCTTTAAAGGAGAACTATGGGGTCAGGGCTTTTCCCCATAGTTCTCCTTAGGGTAACGGGAGGACACAAACTAGCGCCCTCCCGTCACCCTAAGCTCAGTATACCGCCAGCTACAGCTGGCGGTATACTGAGACGCCGCAGCCGGAGCGGATCCCGACATTGCTGTCGAGATCCGCCCAGCTGCGTGAGTGACAGCTGGCTCTGCCTATCAGTCAGCGCTGGCGGATCGGAGCGGGGAGGGGGGAATCCAGCCCCTCCGCTGTCAAGGCAGAGAGCTGTGACAGGATCGAGAAGTGAGCAAACACCGGCATGTGTTCGCTCACCTCCCGATCTACTGAGCCGACCTGTGACAGTCTCATTGTCACAGGTCGGCTAGAACTATGAGGTGAGTTAAAAGCACTCACCTCAGAGTTCTCCTTTAAATATAGCGCATTAATTTTGCCTGGAGTTGGCGCTTTAAAGGAAACCTGAAGAGTGTTTTCAGTATGTATTCTGAGTTTTTGTAACTTTCACCTGAGTCATTGTTGATGGGTTATATGGGGCCACAAACAAATGTTATTAGTTTTCTTTCCAGCTCGAATGTAATTTATTTTTGAGATTAGAGTGAAACTGGAAACTACCAAAATATGGCCCCTAAATGGAGCTAAGAATCGTAGGAAATAAAAACTTATTGTCTATATTCCTCAGCTCTATCTAGTGGCCATTATGTGCAAATTCCCTGATATTACATTCTATCGGAAAAAAAAGAAAAAAACCTAATAACTTCCATTTCTGCCTCTTTCATGCAGTATGAATGTATATGACAGTTTTGCAGGATGAATGGCTCTGCAATTTTTTTTATTCTAATAAATACACCCCTATGTGTTTATCGTCCCTGTTCACTGGTTGATAAGGCATATAGAGAGTCTGTTGTTTCCATTGAGATGGAGGAGTAGTGAAGTGAAGAAATGATCAGTGCTACTGATTATAAGGCAAAGCATTGCATAAGCAATGCCAAAAAAAAATATATAAACACCCTTTGAAAAGATTATTGAAAACGACACTAAACTTAGGAATTAAATCTTAAAAATGCATTCAGGTACCTTTTAGGAGAACTATGGGGTCAGTGCTTCTCCCCCATCCTTTCCGCCAGTCAGTGCGGGAGGATCAGACGTGGGGGGAATCCTTGCAGGGAGCCGTGAGTGACAGCTAGAGCTATGAGGCTGAGTGATTTTCACTCCCCTCATAGTTCTCCTTTAACTATTAACAGAAATGTATCTTATTTGTGTATCACTCGGCTGTAGATCCTCAAATCATCTCTGAATTGGTGCTGACACTGTCCTTCCTCCTGGAGGGGGGCTACTTTTGTTCCCCATGGTCCCTGTGTGTGTTGTAAAGTAGTCAACGCTCCAAGCTCACTCCTGTGATGGACTACAATCTCATTTTTAGTTTACTAATTTGTATTGCAATCGACTGCAATCTTTATTTTAGTATTCTCAGACACAGTTCTGAAAAGGATTAATTTTTCAGGTGAGAACCGGCAGCACCCACGTGTGTGTTCTGTGACTGTGCTGTCAATGACTTCTGCAGGCCGCAGACTAATGACTGAAAACCAGTGTGGCTCTTCACTGGAAGTTTTCTTGCAAAACAAACTTTCTGGCAAAAGATGCCACTGTGCCCCCCCTTTCACTGTCTTTCACTCTCTCTGCACATAGCATTAATTTAGTAATGTTGTTAATATTTATAATTGTTCTTTATTTACAGTTGAGATTGACATTATAACATTAATAGTTGTTATCAATGATTGATATTTTAGGTTAGCTCCAATGCATTATTATGTTAAAGATCAGTTTATTATTAGGAATATATTTGATCAGACCTGTGACAGTCTCATTGTCACAGGTCGGCTAGAACTATGAGGTGAGTTAAAAGCACTCACCTCAGAGTTCTCCTTTAAATATAGCGCATTAATTTTGCCTGGAGTTGGCGCTTTAAAGGAAACCTGAAGAGTGTTTTCAGTATGTATTCTGAGTTTTTGTAACTTTCACCTGAGTCATTGTTGATGGGTTATATGGGGCCACAAACAAATGTTATTAGTTTTCTTTCCAGCTCGAATGTAATTTATTTTTGAGATTAGAGTGAAACTGGAAACTACCAAAATATGGCCCCTAAATGGAGCTAAGAATCGTAGGAAATAAAAACTTATTGTCTATATTCCTCAGCTCTATCTAGTGGCCATTATGTGCAAATTCCCTGATATTACATTCTATCGGAAAAAAAAGAAAAAAACCTAATAACTTCCATTTCTGCCTCTTTCATGCAGTATGAATGTATATGACAGTTTTGCAGGATGAATGGCTCTGCAATTTTTTTTATTCTAATAAATACACCCCTATGTGTTTATCGTCCCTGTTCACTGGTTGATAAGGCATATAGAGAGTCTGTTGTTTCCATTGAGATGGAGGAGTAGTGAAGTGAAGAAATGATCAGTGCTACTGATTATAAGGCAAAGCATTGCATAAGCAATGCCAAAAAAAAATATATAAACACCCTTTGAAAAGATTATTGAAAACGACACTAAACTTAGGAATTAAATCTTAAAAATGCATTCAGGTACCTTTTAGGAGAACTATGGGGTCAGTGCTTCTCCCCCATCCTTTCCGCCAGTCAGTGCGGGAGGATCAGACGTGGGGGGAATCCTTGCAGGGAGCCGTGAGTGACAGCTAGAGCTATGAGGCTGAGTGATTTTCACTCCCCTCATAGTTCTCCTTTAACTATTAACAGAAATGTATCTTATTTGTGTATCACTCGGCTGTAGATCCTCAAATCATCTCTGAATTGGTGCTGACACTGTCCTTCCTCCTGGAGGGGGGCTACTTTTGTTCCCCATGGTCCCTGTGTGTGTTGTAAAGTAGTCAACGCTCCAAGCTCACTCCTGTGATGGACTACAATCTCATTTTTAGTTTACTAATTTGTATTGCAATCGACTGCAATCTTTATTTTAGTATTCTCAGACACAGTTCTGAAAAGGATTAATTTTTCAGGTGAGAACCGGCAGCACCCACGTGTGTGTTCTGTGACTGTGCTGTCAATGACTTCTGCAGGCCGCAGACTAATGACTGAAAACCAGTGTGGCTCTTCACTGGAAGTTTTCTTGCAAAACAAACTTTCTGGCAAAAGATGCCACTGTGCCCCCCCTTTCACTGTCTTTCACTCTCTCTGCACATAGCATTAATTTAGTAATGTTGTTAATATTTATAATTGTTCTTTATTTACAGTTGAGATTGACATTATAACATTAATAGTTGTTATCAATGATTGATATTTTAGGTTAGCTCCAATGCATTATTATGTTAAAGATCAGTTTATTATTAGGAATATATTTGATCAGTTCGTTTTATTTATTATTTTTCAGCTAAATTTAAAGTATGTCAGGTAAAAAAAAAAAAAAAAACATACAATATATCTCGGCAAATACATGCACATCTCCCCATGTTTTATCCAATTAAAGACTCTGCAAGCACAGAAAAATACCTGTGGATCCTGGTAGAATCGCACACAACTCCTAATTTTCTGTCGTGTGCTGATAATATGCGCCTTTACTGAGCTAAAATGGCAAGAAATGGTGTCAGCTCAGACAAGAAATGGTGTCAGCCCTGCCCAGTTGTCTATTACAGCTTTAGCCAGAGCAGGCAAACAGGTTAAGCCGGGAGTTGGATTTCTACCTGCATGTATACTGATGATTTGCGAGGATAAGGAAGCAGGTCTGATGGCAGGAAGCTTTACAGCAAAGTCACCCTGCAGCTTACTGAACCAGCGTGCCTGCAGTTGGGCTTTAGACTGGACCTATCAATAAAGTGACCCTGTCATCTCGTATGTAACATAGACCTACTAAAAGAAAAAGCCTTATATACTTTCCTTTACCGCGTCCCGTTTCCTGAAAAGTCGCCACTTCTCCGGTTACCTGGTGCTGCAAGTATTTGACCAGTTGGATGGTTCAAATACACATGCTGTGGTTACGTCTGCCATCTTTTACTTCCTGATGTGATGTACAAACCAGCGGGAGACACCACAGCGAGTGGTGGGGGAGCAGGTATTTCGCAAACCTGAAACTAAGCAGTGAAGTGATGGCTTTTTCAGAAACAGGCCATTGGTTACTACTTATGGACTGTATGGACTTATATGGACTGTACATCCTTCTTATTGGTGCTGCATAGTTACTATGCTTTACTGCACCTCGTTTGTCCAAAATATGTATTGAAAGATTAACGCAGACAAACTCCATATTGCCTTACTACTGATGAGCATATTGCCTTACTACTGATGAGCCTGGGTTTGGTGCGAACCCAGTTTGCCTGAGTTCACCCAAGCCCACTCAAAACTCCGACCGCCAACCCCTCCACCTCCGGTCCATTAAGTGATGGCATTTGCGACGGGGGCAATTCTCCGCCCTTTGTGATGTATTATTACAAAATGGAGATGTATGGGGAATGCACCTCTCCACAACTGATTGGGCCTGGAGGGAGAGTGTGCAAGTCATAGTTTTGGACAGGCTTGGGCGAACTGGGTTTGCACCATCCGGGTTCATTACTATGCCGTACCAATTATATTGATCATCCTGCTCCTAATGGAACTTGCCCCAGTCATGCAGAAACCCACTAGTAATAATAAGGGAGGAGGACAATTGTATGTTTTTTGAGTTGTAAATGGAAACCATGGAGGGAACCCACACAAACACCAGAAGAATATTAAAATTCCATGCAAGTCATATCCCTAGTAGGAAAAAAAAAACAAGACCTCAGTGCTGCAAGGAAAATGTGCTAACTAGCCAGCCACCATGGCATGTTGTTGAGTCTAGCCAGGGCTGTCAGACATTTATTGAAAACAATGGTCTTTGCAGATGGCTTAGGCTGTGAATGGTTTGCTTACAGCGACAGTTTAGCAATGATGCTACTTGCACTGCCTGAGCTACTGAAAAAGAATCTACACATCTGTATATGAAAAACAATCAAGAAACTAGAACACTCATCATTAAGCAACACAATATATCCAGTAGTTTGCTCTGTTGGTGGGGAGATTGTTCTGATGGGTTTTATTAGAGCTTTGCCAGTCCTCATTATGGCTGCTTTGTCGTTACAGGCAGATGCTCTTTGTGCTCTGGATCTGTTGAGCTGTGCTGGACTTGTGAACCATTTTGGACGTTCACCATCTGTAGAAAAGATTGATATCAGCCCGGTACTGTTACAGAAAGGGAGAACCAAGATTGCTCTGTATGGATTAGGTGAGTCTCTGTCACTGCATTTACTATCCGTGTTATAGGGTTACTCTTAGAGATGAGCCTGGGCTTAGTGTGAACCCAGTTCGCCTGAGTTTGCCCAAGCTCGCTCAGAACTCTGACCGCCACCCCCTCCTCCCGACCCAACCAGTGTTGCCTATTTTTGTGACGTATAGCTGTGGGGCGGGTAATGTGTCTCTCCGCAACTGATTGGGTCGGGAGGAGGGAGCGGTAGTCAGAGTTTTGAGAGGGCTTAGGAGAATTGGGTCCCTGCCTCATGTCTAGTTATTCTACAGCCTGGATATTTTAATTATGGGTGGATACCTGTTCTATCAGTCATTCAACTTAATTTATAGCATTGTCTTTTTTTATTTTTTATTCTTATGGATAGCGTTCGGAAGGGTTTAAACATTTTGCTGCCGGATTTGTTTTTTTCTACATTTTAAAATAAGGTTTTAAGCATTTTAATCCTGAAATTTATTTGAATCCCCCAAAACATGATATCATTTCTGAAAGCAGGGAACATGTAGAATACAAAAGGTGGCAGCTGTAAATTTCTATGTTGTGCCATATTAAAGCAATTGTTTTTCAAGTCTATATTTTCAGGATAAAATGAACTAAGATTCATCCCCTGAGATGGCTTGTTAGCCCCCTGATGTCATAGCAATGAAGTTAAGCGTAAAAAAAAGAAAGAAAAAAAAATGAAAGTCACAAATTAAACAAAAAAAAAAATGTATATTTTTTTAAAGTTTCCTTCCCCCACGTCCCACACACACACACATGCTTCGGGTGCGAAACCAACAACTTTTGTGCTACACAGCGAACGCCTGAGTGCAAATAATAATTCTAGGACCATTAATCACTGTTAAAACTACAGTAAATTGATGATCGGTAAAAGCTTTTAAATTGTCGTCTATGGCCAATTTTGGGGAAAGTAGTATTTTTTTTTTGCAATTTTGTGGGTGTGTGCAATTTTAAGGCTTAACATGTTTGGTGTACATTTACCCGTCGTGACCCCATCATTTATATTTTACCAAAAAATTGGGTAATAATAAATGTTTCATAACATAACATAGGGAAAAGTTTTTTCCCCAAAATGTTTGGTACTTTTTTCTTTATATAGTCAGTCAAAGTACTGTAGCGCTGAATACTGAAAAATGGCCTGGACAGGAAGGGGGTGTAAACACTAGGGATGCACTGATACCGGTTTTTCCGCATCGAGTGCCAGTACAGATATTTTTTATTTTTGGTACTACTCACCGATACCCAATACCGATAACAGAAGTCCCATTAAGGAAGCCAGGTGGCGTGCAATGACTTGCCACCCAGCTTCCTGATTAGCCGGGAAGTCGTCTCCATGCTCCCTCGTCACCAGGTGACAAGGAATCATGGAGCCGGGTTCCTGGCCACTCAGGAAGCCGGGGGCGGGTAATGACTCACTGCCGGCTTCCTAATTGGCCAGCATCTCGACCAATTAGCCGGGCGGCGAGTCATTACATGGTCTGGAAGCCAGCTCCATGCTCCCTAGGTATGGCTCGGTATGGCTTCCTGATACTGGAAGTGCCAGTATTGGGGTAAGTATTGGGAGCAAGTACTCACCCAAATACTCGGTATCCCTATTTAACACTCCGCTCTTCAAGTGGTTAAAATAATCCTCAGCACAGAGTGACTTGCATGCAATAAAAGATGAGGAACTATACTGATCCTTCCAGTGGCCTGTTTGTTTAAACATTGTTTCTTTGCTGACAGATGGCAGCTGCTTGTGTTCCTCACCTCCAGGTGTGTGGAATGCCTGCTTTTCTACCCTCTTTTACATCACTACAGGATGTACGAGTCGGCAGGAGGAACCACATTGTGCCATGGAGGAAAAGTATTCGACTCATATGACCTGTCAAATACCTGATGGAGGTTCTTTATGCCTGTTTAGATTTTTAGCAAAGAAAAACTTTTGGCTGAGGTTAGGCTTTACTTTAGAAACAGTCATTTTTTTGTTTGCTCCAGATATGGAAAGGAGTTGTTTTTAGCACATCTATGATATTGCATGTTCAGAGATTCTGTAACAGCATTGACCTTTAAGGCGAACACAAATCAGTATGTAAGGCTTGGTGTCTTGTTGTGCATGACTCTTTTGTACATTACTTATGGAAATTAAATGTCCTTTTGAAAGCCTTAAGTGTTTAAAACTATGAAAGGAAAACCTTTTTGCTCCGTCCCTCTCTTCGGTATTATTGGCATTGAATACAATTAAACTAATTTTACTTTTAAATGTCAAGTTGTTTTTTATAGGCAGTAAACATTTTAATAATGATTTATAACACAATTTTATAATTCAGCGAAGAATAAAAAAAGATGGATATCTGGGGAATGACAGAGATGGTGAATAGTGCCGAAGTAATTATGTCTAAAGGAAAGCTCAATAAAAATACACTGTCATAGACCATGAATTAATGCTGTGTTCAATATCTCAAGTACATCAATTATTAGGCTGCTATTATTATTAGGATGCTTTATGTATTCTCAGGTATTGGAAGACAGTGTGAGAGGGTAGACGGTAGCAGGATAGCAGCTGTCAGACATCAGATGACCTCTGACTACTTAATCTTGAACCCTTCAAAGATAGGTGCCTAAATGGGGCACTTGGGAGGTGATTCTGAACCCTGCACAGTTGATACTAAATAATAAGTCTATTACTTTGCAAAACCATGGGCTATAGTATGGAATTGCCACACTCACCCCATTTGTGGCTTTAGGATCCTCCACTCTATGCTATTCATAAGATTTTGGAGCGTATCTCTGGGGATTTGTGTTTTTTCAGCAAAAATAGAATTTGTGAAGTCAGGCTGAAGTAGAAGACCTGCAAAGAAACAAAAGGCAGAGCTCCGCCTCCATGTTTAATATAATGTATTCATTTTCCAGGAAAGATAAAAATTATACTCACAAGTGTTAATGAAAGAACGCTTTTAAGGTCACACAATCAACTTGTTACGGCGGAACTTCAGGAAGGAATTTTCCCTGATTGCCAACATGGCGGCTGTCAGTGACATTCCTGACTCCTCCAGCCGCTGTGTATCTTGGTTTATGCGTCAGAAGACCCGGCTAGCAATTGTCTTTTTAATTTATACCAAGAGTGTTCAGTAGGATTGACATCAGGTCTTTATGTAGGCCACTTGAGTTCCACTGCCACCATACTCCTCATACCTTAGCTTTATGGACCTGGCTTTTTCCACAGTGGCACAGTCATGCTAAAAACACAAAGCGCACAGCTCACCCCTGTCATGCATCCTTGTAATCCGCATTTGGTGCACGGAGGACTCTCTTCTGGAGTGAGAGGCTCAAAAATTGTAGAACCAGCACACGATGATCTTCCAAAGAGAATCAAATGTTATTCCACTTGCATCTATACAAAAAAAAGCTCATGCAGTTCTGCCTTACTCTGCTTTAGAAATAGCACAGTCATGCTGGATCAGAAAAGAACCTCCTCTAAATTGTTTTCAGGAAGTGGAAACGCATACTTGTGTGATATGTTTTTGTATGCTGTAGCATTGCCAGTACTCTTCATTGGAAACACTTGGAATTACATTTTAGGGGTGTCCACATATTTTGGCCATGTTAGGTAGGTGATGTGATTTTCAGATGTCCACAAGCGTTTTGTCATATAGTGTATGTAACATTCTCCCACCAAAAGAGCCTCCAAATCCAGGTTGGATGCTGGCCCAGTAATAACTACTTCTCTTCAAGGTCCGCTTTAGTCCTGCTTGCTGCCATGCTCCTAGCTGTTTGTCTCAGAGTCCAGTAGATGCTCATTGTTTCCAAAGGCAACAGCTGAAAACAGTCAGGCCAGGTGCTAGAATGGTGTATGTCCTAAGACAGATTGTCACAGCAGACAGTAGCAGAGACTGCAGGCTGATGGCGAGGTCAGGCAGATGCTCAGAGTCCAGGTCCAAGGCAGGCAGACAGAGCACAGACTTCCAGTAACAGAGGCAGCAGCCCAGTGATCAAGATAAGCATAGACAAACTGAGTAAACACTGAGTCCAAACTGTTCAAAGGAACATTTGAGGCATGGACAGTCAGATATAAGCCAGAGGCAGGAAGCCCTATATCCAAGGCATAAACAAGCAAACAATCCTATTGAAGAGGAGCAGGCTTGAGGCTGTGATCTCACTTTAAAGGCCACTAATAGGGTCAGGTGAGGGAGAGTGTGCACAGCAGAGAATTGAGCTTTGTTGCAGAGTAACACCAGCTTGGTCGATAGGGCTGTTCCGATACCATTTTTTTAAGACCAAGACCAAGTACTTACCCTTAGGTACTTGCTGATACTAATTACCAATACTTTTTGTTAAAGGGACATGTAATATTTTTTCTAAAACAATACAGACTGATTTTGTGGCAGTTTCTTTATAATTATGAAGAACTGTAACTCAAACCATGATTATTCAGCAGTGGAGAATGGCAACCAGCAATAGAGGACTACAGATCCCATCAATCCATGATTATTCAGCAATGGAGAATGGCAACCAGCAATCATGGATTGCTGAGATTTGTAGTCCTCTATAGCCAGTTGCTATTCTTATTGATAATACAGCAATGGAGAATGGCAACCACCGATAGAGGACTACAGATCCCATCAATTCATGATTGTACTGCAATTATACAGGGCTGCATTTGGGTCTCACCGGGGCTGTGTGCAGATCTCACCAGGGCTCTGCAGGGTTGGTGCTGTGCTCTGCGGATTGGTGCCGTGCTCTCCAGGGCTCTGGGGTGTGGGTGCTGGCCCTTCCAGGGCTGTATGGGCAGGTGTGGGGTTATCCAGTACTGTAGTGGTCACGGGAAGGACGAGAGGTCCCCAGCAGGCATGTGTTCGTGTTTAAAAATTTAAAGGCCCGGTATCAGCCTTTATTATGGGGGCATTTTTTGCACGAGTACAAGTACTTGTGAAAATGCCCTTTGTCTGCACCTATACTAGTATCGGTCCCAGGACATCCCTACTGGTTGATACAGAGTTCTGTTTTATTAAATCTCCTAGCTAAGCCCTAGGATGATAGTTTAATGGAAGCCTGTAATCTAAGTAGTATGGAGGCTGCCGTTGCTGACTTCTCCTTTTGGAAATGCTTGTTATCTGGTTGTCATTATGACCCTTCATTTTTAATAGTTTTGTGTCAGTGATCTGATACAGGTCTTCAGATCAAAAGTTCTGAGTTTGCTTATTCCAAGTCAGAAAATGATCCATGACAGCCACACTACTAGCAATTTTTAAAGAAGGTCAGCAAAAGGAGACCTGGTATTTTTGTCATATAAGTGAAGACTGACAAAGGTTTATAGCAAGCATCTCTCCTGTCAGTTTACTTTCCCTCTCAGCCTAGATTCCAAGTGGGTTGTGTGTTTTCCCAGGTGCCATTGTTGCTGTTCTTTTGTCAATTGCCCCTCCATTTTGTTTTTGCCTCAGGGTCCATCCCCGATGAAAGACTCTACCGAATGTTTGTTAATAAACAAGTAACCATGTTGCGGCCCCGTGAAGATGAATCTATCTGGTTTAACTTATTTGTAATTCATCAGAACAGGTAAGGTCCCTCTGGGAATGTCCTGGACATCTGCTTCATGTTGCTAACATTATCCGGAACATTTATTTCCAAGTCAGTAAAGCACAACGCATTCTGTTCTAAGCCTGCTGGGAGCCGCATTTAAATTGTTAACACCGATATTCTGCAGTCATTAAAAGCCTCCAGTTACCGTAATTGCCTGAGACATCCACTTCCATTAACCCAAAATTTTCAACCAAGCTGTTCTATTGCTTTGAATAAAGTGTTCATTTGGCTTATTATCTTGAGTTGAACATTGCACTGCTTTACTTACACATATTGGATAGAAAGGAGGAAATAGAGTCAGAAGCGTGAGATATCGTGCCCAGAATTCCTCAACAGATGTTGCAAGTTAGATGGTTCAGTTTTTCAATTAAAATGAAAATTGCTTCCTTGATCTGCACTTTCAGCTTGGTGTGCCTTTGCGCCATTGTGTGAAATTTTCTTTTTAACTGATAGCAATGAAATATTTTATAACAAGACTAAAAACAGTTTACCAGTAGCACTTCCTGGAGATTCCGCACCCTGCCAGTGCTACACAAGTTAGATGTCAATAAAAGAAAAGAAGAATAGACTATGATGGCTGGATAAGATGAGCACAGAAATTCCAATCTCTGTTATCATACTAACTTATATTGGGTACGACAAAGACCTATAAGGAGAAATAAATGTGCCATCTCATATCATTTTTTATTGAGACAGTGCAAGACACATCCTTGACCTTTTAAGAGCACTAAAGCAAGATAGATATAATACTAGATAATATATAGTATTGAAGTACTGATCACATCCACTATAAATTTTTCAGTTGGCTTTCGTTTTGAAATAAGCTATTGGAATTTGCAGTATTTTTTTCTAATATATAAACAAGGCCTTGAAATGTATTTTAGAAACATATCTATATTTTCAACTTAAGTGACTGTTGTTTAAATAAAAATGTTAAAATAAAGTCTCCACTGCAAGGAAGTTATTATTCATCTCTCCCACGCGCCAACTCAGGCGTTAAATCTTAAAAATACATTCAAGTACCTTAACTATTAACAACAATGTATCTTATTTGTGTATCACTCGGCTGCAGATCCTCAAATCATCTCTGAATTGGTGCTTACACTCACTGTGCTTCCTTCTGGAGGGGGGCTACTTTTGTTCCCCATGGTCCCTGTGTGTGTTGTAAAGTAGCCACAGCTCCAAGCTCGCTCTAACTAAATGTGAAATTGTAGTCCATCACGGGAGTGAGCTTGGAGCGGTGACTCCTTTACAACACACACAGGGACCTTAGGGAACAAAAGTAGCCACCCCCCAGAAGGAAGGACAGTGTCATCACCAATTCAGAGATGATTTGAGGATCTACAGCCGAGTGATACACAAATAAGATACATTTTTGTTAATAGTTAAGGTACTTCAATGCATTTTTAAGATTTAAAGGAGAACTATGGGGTTAAGGTTAAGGCTTTTCCCCATAGTTCTCCTTAGGGTAACGGGAGAACACAAACTAGCGTCCTCCCGTCACCCTAAGCTCAGTATACCACAAGCTACAGCTCGCGGTATACTGAGACGGCACAGTATACCGCAAGCTACTGCTCGTGGTATACTGAGACGCCGCAGCTGAAGCGGATCCCGACAATTATGTCTGGATCCGCCCAGCTGTGTGAGTGACAGCTGGCTCTGCCTATCTAGAGGCAGAGCCAGCTGTACCCGCCCCTTCGCCCGTCCGATCCGCCAGTCAGCGCTGGCGGATCGGAGTGGGGAGGGGGGAATCCAGCGCCTCCCCTGTCATGGCAGAGAGTTGTGACAGGATCGAGAGGTGAGCGAACGCCGATATGTGTTCGCTCACTTCTCGATCTACTGAGCCGACCTTAGTGAAAAGCACTCACCTCATAGTTCTCCTTTAAGTCCTGAGTTTAGTGTCACTTTATTGCAGTAGGGAAGAAAAACACTGGCTAAAGAATCTTTAAAATATGACACCTCCGGGTGTGTCATATCTTTCTCCCACGTGTGCACTTGGTAATGTAATAGTTTGCTCTGGCATCTGTGACTGTTTCTTTTTATGGGCTTGGCTGCATATAAATATGGAGAAAGCTATAAGTTGGGGCATATTAAATAAGTGGCTTTCATTTACCTAATACTGTCGTCATAGGCATTAAAGCTGAAGTTTAATGTGCTTATATTTTTCCTTCCCTGGTTCCTTGTTTATCCCCTCATCAACATTCTAATGAAATGTTATATAAAATCTTTCCATTTTCATTAGATATCTTATTTTAGACCCAGTGATATCATCACAGGGTCTTTGTGCTTCTTTTTGCAATGCAGGCAGACCATTGCCTCGTACTGTGGTTGAGCTTGGGCACATCCTCTTTTCCCTTGCTATTGAGAATAGCCATTATAAATGTGGATCAGTTGTGATAGTTTGAAGGTTCTGGAAATGGACATGGCTT